ATGCCTGGTAGGAATGCAGTCACTGCTTTTGTTGGTACCAGGCTGTGCTTATGCTGCAACAAAACCTGATCAATGAATGAAATTTTTCATGTGGCAAAAATTTAAGGAGAGTATATGCCTTCTAAGTCAAATGGTAATACTTCGATTAAAATTTAGGTTAGATGGAAAGTTGATGTTCCAGATTTACAAAAAACCTATTTGTCTTCTCTTAGGAGAGTCAATGTTGTGACTCAGCTGTTTTGACAGGTTAGTGTTGTCTGACACGGCTCAAGCATGTACCATTAAAAATCAAGATTGGCAGGTGGGCAACAAAGAGATTTCACTGCATTTTCCTCTGAATCAACTCAAATGAAAATCTCTATCTTCAATCTCGAGAAACTGATTTCTTCACTTTAATGCCTCAAAGAAGCAGTCATAGATGTTTGAAATGCATGGTATCAGAATTTATCTCCTTTCCCATATTTTGTGAACTTCCCAAAAGAGGAACAATATCAAGCAGTTCCTGACTGCAGTTTTAGGAAGGCAGAACAGCCTGTTACCTCTGTGGGCTGAAAGAGCAGATATAACCATTCTTGAGGATTCTTCTTTGCTTTGTAACAAGGTCAGTTCTTCTTCCATCTTCACTTTTAGTCAGTGAAAGGTAGGAACCAGTGCTATTGCACCTCTAATGATGGATGTTTCCTGCCAACCTCCAAAAGCACTGCTGATCAGCACCTGATTTAGGATTTGGAAATGCACCACCAGCTCATATTTTAAAGTATGTGTGATCTTCGAACCACTAAGTGTCATAACTACTGCCATATGCAGCCAGGGATGCTAATTTTTTTTAGAACTGAGCTGTGGTCTCAGCATGCTCAGCATTTGTTGTCTTTCTCTTAAATATTTAACAGGTTGTGTGTGTGTATGTTTGCGTGTGTGTGTGTGTGTCTTTGCAGAACTTCAATGGAATATATTAAATAGTCAGGGACTAGGGAGCAAAGTGTTGATTCTTGCTGAATTTCTTACTTTGTTGTCCTCTGTTTTGGACTCTCTCAATTAGCTCTGTCCAAAGAATCTACTTTTTATGCAGCTACATAGACATGGAAGAGTTCACCAGAGGCTGACAACTGTGCTCTAATTTCTGAACTAGCTAAAATAGCACAAGCCTCAGTAACTTTGCTATCCACTCACATATTTTATGTGTGGAACTTTTTTTTCTTTAAAAGCAAAGAAAGTGTTCTCATTTAAATTTTAAAATATAATAAAATGTATTATTCTAACTGATATGATACAATAGATTGATAAAACTTTGATTAAAAAAAAAGAATTGATAAAAAAAAGAATACGCTGACATCTACAGTTTATCAAAGATTTTCTTGTTTGAAATCAGAACTTTGTTTCCAGGATGATTTGACATTCCTTTGTATCTTTCATGATGAAATTTAACCATCAAGTAAAGAGATTTGTATGCATGTTGGCATGTTATTCAAGAGAAAAAAATGCATTTTGACAAATAACTTATTGATAAAAATGCTTAAGTGTATTTATCTGTACATTTGATTTTATGTTTTTTTTTTTTTTTTCCAACTGTGTAGTTAATTTAGTTAAACAAAGCACATATATTGGATTTTCTAACTTGACTTTCCTATCCAGTCATAGTGGATCAGGAGCTGACAGAATGCCAGGGCTAGGAAAAAAAAAGCCAACAAAAACCAATTTTAGAAGTGATTGGGTGTTGTTAAATGGAATTTAGATCACTGGTAGCTGCAAAGAAAACAGACTTGTTGAAAGCAGTAATGGGAAAAAAAGTGACTTGAAACAAAAAACATTAAGTAAATGAAGTCAGATTCAAGTAGCCAAATGAACAAGCAAGGTGTGAGCATTGCCTTGTCAAAGCCAGTAATCTTAGATGCCATTAAATATTTAGTGTGGTCTATTTGATGAGTCTGGTCTATTTGATCTGCTTCTCACAAGCTCTTTCTTTGAGAGGTCTTTATTTATGATTTAATAGCTGTCCATAAATTTGGAACTTTGAATTAAGAGAATTAAATTTTCTTCTTAGCTGTATTTGGCATTTGATGAGTGTCTGTGCAGAAGGAAATAATTCTTGAATAAGACCCTCACTTTTAGTTTCCAGCTGTCTTAGATAACAGTAGCATATTCAGTCCACAACAGTAACTGTGGGGAAGAGACCTGTGATCTGTGGTTGTGGCTGAATTATAATTGCCCTGTTATTTACTTAAAAAGGGACACTTACAGGTGCATGGGAAACAGAGTTTGAGTATAAACATAAATAAATGAAACACTACTCTGGAAACATTTAAAAGCAAATGTCTTACAGGAAAATACCTCAGAAAACATTTCTAGTGGCTTTTCTCTTCTTAGAAAACAAAGTAGAGTATATCCTTTATTTGATCCTTTAAATTTTTAAATCCATGGAGCTATTTAAATTACAGTAGATTCTCTGAAGAAAACAAATTAATATACAATAGGAAAGATTGTCTCACTGCCCATTACCAAAGCATAGAATAAAACATTCATGTCTGAAATAATTGTAAACGACTTTTTATGACTGCAAATTAAATTCTATTATATAATGCAGTTATTGTATTGCTTCATGCATTTATTAATACTTCTTTATTTTAACAACACCATGAACAATGGGAATGACACATATGTTGGCACAGAATGAATGTTACCCAGCAAGCTTTTAAAAAAATTGGGAATGAACATGTTTGAAATTGAGAACTCTCTTAAGAGCCTGAAAGCTTTTTTTTTTTTTTTTAATTAGTGAGATGTCAGCATACGTTTTTAATATTCAGTTGAAGCAGGGTAGGAAAAGCTATGGCCCATATGAAATGTTTTTCAAATGCAGTGCATATATTCAGATTTACTCTTCACAGGTGTACCTTTTCCTGTGGTTTCATCAACAGAACCTTGGGGGGTTTTCTGGTTCATTGGTTGGTTCTGGTTTTTTCTTTGCCCTGTAGGTCTTTATAAGCCCGGGTGCATTTATAAATCAATCTGCAATTGAAAGATAATGTCTGATACTATAAGCAGTTTCTCAGTGGAGTTCCCAATGACCTTATTGATTCAAGCCTTTATCAATATTTTCTTGATTTCTCACTGATTATCTTGATTTATGGGTTTTCTGACTAAGAGGCCTTAGAGTGTTCTGAGGCTCACTGCTATTGTATCATGTCTATAAACAAAGACCATTATCCCATGTAGCAAATCTATGTACATTTTTATCAGGGTTATTCTGGAAAAAAATCTCATTTTCTTAACTTAGTAAACCTGAAATGGCTGTGACAGATATTTATCTCCCCCACTCAGGACAGTGTATTAAAACCCCCTTACAGCCTTTTGCTCTGAAAAGGAAATCAATATGTAGATGGAATTATTATTATTATTATTATGTGTTAGTATTGATGACCCGAAACTTTATCTATCTCAGACAGGTAAATCTGGTGAGAAAGCTCATATTTTTTTCACTGTTCTAATGATCTGTGCTAGCATAAAGTCAACTCTATCTGTTATCTGGAGGATTGAGTAGACCTTTAGAGAGAATCGATAATGGAATACCTCCATACAAGTACTAGATACCAAACAGCTGACTATATTTTGGAAAATCTCTAGGCTGCTTTCAGCTGCAATGGGAATTCTACTATTAGAAGGCAGAAAAAGTGGCAAAAGTGGTTTCTGCTCAATTCTTAGTTGTTATAAGTACATACTAACTTTAGCTATAAATAAAAGGAACAATTTGAGATGGTTGTGGTTGATGTTTAGTGTCCAGTTTTCAGAGTTCCCAAAGCAATAGGCACAAATTTATGTGCCAAGCTATCTTTCCTGTTGAGATCCTACATATCTTGGGATGCCTCAGCCTCCAATTAGCTCCTCCAGAGTCATTAGAAGAAATTTTCTCAGTAGTATTTGCAGGGTGATATCTATTTGATTTGAAAATGATTATTTTTTCTCAAGCAGTCAATGCTTGGGTGGGATCAGCTGTGAAAACTCTTTTGAACAAACTCTTTTGAAAACCCTTTGGGGCATGTCTGCTTGCTTTTAAATTGTTGTTGATTGCCTCAGTTCACTATCTGCTTGTCTCCAAAGCATACATCACGTGGACACATGGTCACAAATACTAGCCATGCCTCGAGTATGCCAATAAAAGTCAAAGTTTCTCAGTACCTTCAGCCAAAAATCAACCATCAAACTCGCTGTATTAAATGTTCTTACACCAATCTAGGAGGACAACTAATGTGGAAAGATACAAATTCTTGTGTTTCTGTCTGAAACATTTTGCCAGAGGAGTACTTTGGAAGAGTGTTTTATTTTACAGCATCCCTTACACAGGACATCTTTGTATTGAGTGTAACAGAGCCTGACATCTGAATCCGCTGGGTTCCTGGCAGCGCTGAGCTATCAGGTAGCTGAAGCCATCTCCTGGTTACTGCCGGGTGAAGCCCAGAGCCACTTCTTTCAGCACCTGGACTCCACTCGACAGAAACTATTCCTCTCCATCCAGACTTTGGCCCTGCGGAGGCCGATTCCAGCCGGCTCTTCCCGAGCATCCCCCCGGGGCGGTCGGGAGCGGATCAGCACCACGGCCAGCGCCCCCGGCCGCCTGCAGCCGGCGCTCAGGGAACCCAGGAGCGCGCAGGAATCGAGGGAGAGGGAAGTCCTGCCTCCGTGCTGATGCTTTTTATGGGGACCAGACACCAAACAAAAGGTCAAAGCATGCTCTTTGACCTCCTCAGCTATATTTTAAACCGAGGAAAGGACAAAGATCTTTCACAGACACAAATGGAATAGAAAAGACATTTCTGTGTTACCATCATGCTTCTCACAATGTTAGACTGAAAACAATTGGTGCAGCCATAGGGATTTTTTTCCCCTCCTCATAACAGTAAGTGGCAATTTTTCTTGTCTGCTGAGAGCAAAGGTAACTGCTGCTGATTGCCAGATCCAGTGTGAAATTAAGGAGCTGAAAAAGTATAAAGGGGAGGAAGTGACACATTATGTTCAAAAAGATCCATTCTATATTTCACCCCAACTCCCAGCGAAGAAACGTGACAGATGACATTCCTTACAGTGATGGAGCTGGTTCTGCAGTGAGACTGATCCGCAGCACTTCCATGTATGTCCTTGGAGGTGAGCAGGAAAAAGTTAGTGAACCGCTAAAAAAATGCAGAAGTACAACCAGCATCGACTCTTGCTTTCAGCCAAAAGATGAAGACAGAGACTGGATGTACTCTAAGACTCAGGACTGCCTGAAGTACCTCCAGGATCTGCTAGCCTTGAGGAAAAAATATCTTGAAAACATCAATAACTTGAAATCCATGCATATGGCTGCAGATTCTCCAGCATCCACAAGATCATCCAAAACTGGAAAAAAGTTATTTCTTCCACTTCCTTCCAAAGAGACTTCTAAGGTAATTTCCAAGAACTTTTGCCATGTACTTAGTCTTAAGCAACAAAATCATCGAAGCTATGTCACCTGTATTGATTTTCTTCTTTACTGCTTTCAGTCAGTTGTCATTTTTCTTTTGCATCAATTTAAGTGTTGCTAAATACATTGAGATTCTTTCTAAGCAGTGTAAAATTAGGAATGAATGACTGATCATAGAAAGAAATGTATATGTCTCTGTTTGAGGGGGGAAATGTTGGGAGAGAGAAAGTAGGAAAAAGTTGTGAGAGTATGGAAAATGTTGGAAATGAAAGGGCAAGCTCTGACATTCTACTTAAGTACCTCGGAATCCTTCACTATGATTAGTGAAGTCCAGCTTGACTGACAAATGCAGTAATCTCAGGATTTCCTGGCAGTCTTATTATTGACAAAATTACTTACACAAAATAATTATAAATTCACTGAAACAAAGAGGATTTTTTTTTCTGAGTGGTCAGTTAGTTTGTCAGTGCTACATTTAGCATCAGTGCAACCTCTACAGGTGGGGCATGAGGAATTCTTAAGGTTTCCTTTCTCTGTTCATTAATAAGTTCATGGGTCATTTCTAGACAGCAAAATTCTTAACCCTTTACTGTAATGAAAATACAAAAATAAAAAATCATCTTTAGTGCAGATTATTTCCATGTATCCTAGAAATAAAAGCTTTATAAGTTAACACGTCACTGAACAGTTCAGTGGTTACTTTGACTCTAGACTTCATTCAGTGAGGACAAAACAAAGGACTGCAGCAAGTGGGATGATCTGTTTAGGTAACATGACTGCAAACAAGACTTCAACAGGAGGCTCACAGGTTATCCAGTGCAGTCTTTAAGCTGGATAATAATGGGGATGGTGGGAAGAAGGGATGTAGAGCTGAAATTACTGATTAGGCCGGGTTGACGTTAAATAATGTTGCTGCCATATTTAGATGTTCTGTCACAGCAGAGTGTCAGAATGGTTTGTGAACTTCAGAGATGTGCTGCTGAAAATACTGCTTAAGTAAAGCACAAAAGCTTAACAAAAACTTGTTTTTTGGCAAACAATTGGATCTCCCACAGTCTGAGGCTAAGAATGCTGTCATCTGACTTTGGCCCTGTGTATGAACAGTCCTGGTAGTGACTGGCATGCTCACTCCATCACCCATCCCCTTGGAAGCAGACAGGAACACCAGCAGAGTATTCTTGCCAACACAAATGGCAGAGTCACAGCTGCACACCTCTGGCTTTGCAAAAATTAGGGAGAGGTCAAGAAGCCTTTTACACAATTCAGACTATTCTTCCTAACACATTTTATGTCCACAGATTGCAAAGTTTGTGTTATCACCTGGCATGAATCGTTTTGCCCCAGGCTACCTGCTCTTATTAAATTACCTATCAGTGGGAATTCACTTCTTTCTCTAACCTGCTGCATGATTTATAGGAAGGTAATTTGTCCAGACAAACCTGTCCCCATGGGAGTTTTGATCCAAAGATCCCTGGGTCCTGGGATTTCACTATGGATTCAAAATGTGCCACTTGTGTCTAGTGGAAGAAAAGAAGAGAGGTGGGTCAGATGTGGGGAGCACATTGGCATGTCTTTAAAATGCCTTTTAACCAATAAGAGCTTAGTCATAATACAGTCACTATTTCCAGTAGATGTGTGGTAGCAGCTATCTTTTAACACTTCTCAGGATGTCAATCAACCCATAATGTCAGGAGGGGAATCAGCTAGTTCATCTCTCTGCCTCCACAGAACAGGGAACAGGCTGGTCCTTCAGAGGTGTGACATGGCACGCATCCTTTTGTCTCATTGAAACCCAGGGTAGCAATTTTCCGAGCTGGTATTGCAGCCTGACAATATACCTGACTTGGACTAGCAAGGAAAATATATGTCCCTTCATTAGGTAGAGCCTGGCAGGAATTATTCATCCCATTTGTACCTTCAGAATCCCTAACCCAGGTTTTATGACTGCTTCAGCATTTATAGATAGGCATTTCCTTTTTCATCAAGACAGGCTCCTAATTTTAAACTGTGTGCCTTTCCTGTGGGAATTATCACAGTGTTGAATGACTCATAATTTAGCGCACACCATCCTTTTTAATTTCAAAAAGACTTCAGCAATTTAGATCTGGATTAATTTCACCTAACCTAGGCATTTTAATAAGATGCTTATATTAGTAACAAAGTTACCCCTCAATCTCTTTTCAGCTGAGAGAAAGAGCTGGCTGCAGAGGAGGGTTCAGCCTACTTAAGGCCTGACTCATCTTCTGAAGCTACTGGAGCCCAGCATTAATTACAGAAGGAGCCCTGCATGACTACATTTCTAATGTGTTTCTCCTTAGGAACCTAGTGCTAGGCAGAATAAATTTGGTCATAAAACCCAGCTGTCATTTAGCCACCCAATTAAATGGCCTGGTACATGGATTCCGAGGGATTTCAAAACACCTGGCCAGTAGTGCCCAAGTGGAAGGTACTTGTTGTTGAACGTGCAACAGGATGGATATTGGTTAGATATCCGCTGCCCTGCTTTCTTTGATTTCTACACTGTGGAGTAGTTTGGACCTTTGTTTATTTTCTGACAGCGTGAAGTGTGGCATCAAACACATCTTCCATATAGAGTGTGCTCATTAAGAAATCATTGTGCCCAACCCTTGGCTAACTATTTTCTCCTTTGTCTGATCAACAGGCATCCATGGAAAGAAAAGGCCCACAGTCCAGTTCAGATGTAAGAGAAGCAATAGCCTTCTTTGACTCAGTGATTGCAGACCTGGACTCAGAGAGATGGCGGAGAGTTCCCGACGTGGATCTGCCAAATGTGGATGTTGATTTTGATGGTGCAGTATAAACCAGCCAAATATGATGGGTTTTGGGGTGCAGAGGGTAGAGGAAGGAAAGGCATTGTGATGTCACATTTGTTTAATGAATTTATTTAATTAATCAGTTGTCCTCTAGTTTTGCTTCCCAAAATCTAGGACCGTTATATGCAATATGTGAAATTACAGTGATATGTCACTTGTTCCCTGTTGAATGGGTGCAACTATTTTATGTGCAGTCATTACATGGCAAATGTAGCACGTGCAGGGTTGGAATAGTGCTTGCCTTCTGCTCAGAGCTGAACTCCACCCTTGCATTTGTATCTTAAGCTGTCTTTGGAGAATTATAGAAAGTATAATGTATTTTTTTCTTCACCTTTTTTTTTTTTTTTTTTTGAGAAATGACTGGGTGACTCCTTTATAACTACTAAAAAAGAAGTAATTTGATGATTAGGCTAAATAACTGGAGGTTTCCATCAGAAAAAAACGGGATTGCCCAAAGAAATGAAGATGTGCCAATTTAAGGTCATCCTGTATAATCAGCAGAGGGATATAGATATGTCTCACCTTTGCTTCAGGCTGAGGTGAATAACTGAAGCAGGTCATTTTAGCAGTACCCAAGGAATATATTTGAAGGGACTAGCTCTCACATTCATATTTTATGCTGCAGGTGTTGAAATTCTAGATAAAATGAATCCCATCCCGAGTGATATCCTGCAGTGAAACCAGGTTTGTCTCCTGATCTTGCCTCCAGGAAGGACCCAGCAAGCACCCTTGCTGTGTTCCCTCACTGTGCAGATGAAAATGTCACTGCCAAGTGGTTAATCCCAGATTATCTTCTGTCTTTCAGTTGCTACCAGTACGAGTGAACACAGTTTGCATTCAAACTGGATCCTTCGTGCTCCCCGGAGATACTCACAAGACACTGCCCAAGCAGCTAAGCAATCCCAAAGAAACAGTCAGAGGAGAACCACTGGCTCTAGGAAAAGGCTGGAAAGGCATCCCATGTACCTGCCCAAAGCTGTGGAAGGGGCATACAGCACTTTAAAATTTAAGCCTAAAACACACAAGAAAGAATGTTGAAAGAAGAATGTTGAAAGAAGAATGTTCCCTTTTTGTTCCCTTTTCACTTGAAGACAGAATATATGAAATAGGGCATGTAAGACCTCAATTTTTTTTTTTTTACCACTGATCCATCACTTACACTCCAGAAGTGACCTGTGCAGTCACTGAAAGTTCTTCATAGGGGACGTATTTTAAGCCATGGCTATTCCTATGTTGGACTCATATGAGGGTTTAACTCTTCAAATTTTCTGTGCCTAACAATACTGCTTTGTCATTCAGCTTGGTGGGGGGAACTCCAGCTTGACAAGCCTTTTTTTCTAGTGCTGTTACAGAAAGCAATGATTCAGAGATTGCCTGGTGCAGTAATTTTTCTTCTGACTCCAGTACTGCAAAGCAGTTCAAGGAATTCAGCAAATATTTTGGAGGTTTTGCAGAGGTGTTTCCAATGTCAGAGCAGTGAAGCAGAATTTTCTCCTTCTGTTGCTTGTGAAAATTTGTAAGTGCCATCATTGACTCTATGTTCTGAGAGTATACAGCAGCACCAAGATACACTCAGTCTGCAGCATGAGCAGAAAAGAGCTGGAGTGAGGGAATCAGCATTAGAAACTTGTGTTTAGGGTAATAGTGTGCTCCAGTGTGTTTTGTACTCTGCTTGCTATTGGAAATGGTTCTGTTGTTGGATGCATCAAAATAATCACTGCATGCAAAAATGTATGCAACTTGTTTCATATGGTTACACCACATGCTAGTTTTCATCTAACACCCAGCTGATGAATCTAGGCACCCCAGTGTACACTAGAAAAGCTTAAAGTCATGGAGAACATTTTGTGAATAGATTGGAGCAAAGGTTGTTCTCACGGGCAGAAGAGAACTTGCAGACAAAGCCACCACATCACCTTTAGATTTTACCAAATATTTGGAATTCTGCTATTCCATCATTAAAGACAATATATTAGGATGAATGAAGTCTAGATGTGTTTCTCTTCATCTTAGAGGGGATATTTATTCCATGTGATACTTGGAATTAATAAGACCCATGCTCTGCCTGTCAGAGCTCATACTTTGTCTTAAGAATTTGCTAAGGTGTTTGGGATCAAGCTTTGCTTACTCAGATTTTTTTTCATCTGGCATCATTCAGCTGGTGCTGGACTATGACAGATGGATCATGGCAGCACTGGTATGACCAGCTGGTGATTTGCTAGTGTTTCCTTGTTTCTATGATCAGTAGTTTTTGTGTCCACAGGCTTGGATGAATTTCCTAAGGCACTGGCCATCAATATAGCCCATCTGATATACGAAAACCCCCATAAACCTTGTGCCCTCACACAGAACATTTGATAGGTGTTAATTCTTGCTGATTTGTGTTCCCGGTCCTTGGGACTAAGTTATTCAAAAGGCATCTCTGCCATGGGTTGCCAGGATATCTCTGAACTTAATGATCTAGGCCACTTTCTGTCATAAGATAGAAAAGTGCCAAAAAACCATATGTTCCTCCATTCAGAGCTGGCATCTCCTGTTTGATGAAAGCATTTTGATTCTTTTTCTAGTGATGTTTGTGAAGCAGATGGAAGAATTGTTTCTGTAGCACTTCAGTTCTGGAGGTGCTTTTGTTGCTCTTGGCCTAGTTTGCATCCTCTTGAAAATGACCAGTTTAAATAACATAATTGATACATATTCAAGAAGAGTTTAAATTAAGGTCTGGGTTTTGTCTCCCTGCTGTTGGTGCTTTTCACAATAGTCTGTATCCTTTATATTGTGCAATATTATATTGATGCCTTTGTTCCTCCCCAGTTCTGTACTGTCCACCCTGAGCTGAATGCCCTTTAAACTATTCTGCCTCTGAATGTATTCATGGAATTCCACTCAGCCAGGTGGGATAACCAGAGCACAGCTTGTTCCAAACACACCCCTAGGATCTGGCATGCCTCAAGGCTGCAGCTCTGTGTATGTGTGAGAGAAGGGGGACAGTGCTCAGAACTGTACATTTTTGGCAACTGTGTCACCCTGAAACTCCTCTCCAAACAAAATTTCATACTGAAGTTGCCGAGGAACATTTTTGCTGACTGTGTGGGCATCTTTTTGCTACTAGAACCTGCAACATGGATGGGTGCTGTCAGAAAATCTCACCATCTTGTTTGAGTTACTACAACAGAATTATGCATGTGCATAATTAAAATACTGATGAGAAGAAAGAAGAAAAGGATTCCAATGTTTTTCTGCCCTGGGCTCTGTTTCATGTTTGTAGTGCCAAGGTTTTATGCATTGGAGTAACTGATCTCTTTGCTATTGTTTTAAGAATGCATTTTGATGTGCAGAACCAGACTGCTTCAGCATGTGCAAAGCAGTCCTTCCCTGTAACCTCTTGTCTGTCCTTGTAAAACAGACATCTCTGATCATCTGGTTGTGATAGGGGGTGAGGGTCCCCCTGCTGTCCAGCACAGAAAACCTTCAGTGTGAATTTGGGTTCGCTTTTATGAATAAGAGTCAAAGGAGGGGGGGGGGGGGGGAATCAGATTTATAATTTCTACTTGGATTCTGTCATTTTTTTTCCTCTTTTCTTAAAGTTCACTTCAAGCCAGTCATCATCTTAGGAAATTCTAATTAAGCAAGTAAAATAAACCAGTTTTTCTCTGAGAACATGTTCTATCACCTATCCCATGAATACAGGCACCTTCCTTCTTCTTCTAGCATATCAGCCCCTGTATGCTCCTCATGGAACATGGCTCAGCTCCAACAGAGCTATGGAGAGCAGTCCCTGCATCTCAGGGCACTCTCTCCAGAGATGGGAGCTGAGGGTTCAAAGGTCTTGTGCTACCTGTGCTAGAGCAGCTAGCGAAGCACAAAGGGAGCAGGAGAGAGGAAAGGGGACCATCTCCACCCCCAGTGTCAGCTGCCTCCTCAGAGAAGGATTTAGTGTGGATGGCAGCACCCTCTGTATTATCCCAAGACAGAACCCTGCCCCTGCCTGGCACTGGCTCATCTTAGGCAGTTTTCTACACAGCTTCCAGGAGCAGTTGGTTGCCCTACAAAAGTGCTTCCCATCTGGGCTGAATCATTCCCTCGTGGCTTTGCAGGAAGAGCTCTCTGCATAGACACTGAAGGGATTCTCTCTGTCACGGTATGCCCTCTAAATGACCTTGCTGCAACCTGCAGGTATTTTCAGGCATAGCATCCTAGAAATTAAGCAGCTACTAGAGGTGTTCTGACAGTGCCAATCACACAGAAGAGTTGTTCATGACTGGCAGAGCTCTGAGTGACCTAGATCTTTTGAAGAGATTGTTAGTGAGCCCTCTGAGTCATGCCCCCAGGCCGTGGTAATGAAGGGCATCAACCAGGAGCTCTATCGATCAAGGTCACTGTGTGTCAGTGTTCCCTGCAGCAGTGATCCCCAAGAGCTCTTTCCCAGAGTGCACTGGAATAATAGGCAAGATCTTTGCAAAAGCATCTCACATTTTGTTGTTTCAAATCCAGCTCAGTTGAAGTATTAGGATATGTCAGGTCCTTCTAGCCTGTGTCATTGCTGAGTGCTAGCTCTGAAGTGGCCCTGGCTACAAATTTCTGTGACACCACATCCCCATCTGTCTTTGAGAAACTAAAGACACTGTGTGCAAGAATCCAGAAACTGAAGAGAGGTGAAGTCTGTTGAAGGAATCATGTTCTGGAGGATTCAAAATAATTTTGTCTTTTTGTGTTGAGCGACTCAGTGTAATCACAATGCATGTAAGCGAGGTGAAATCGTAAGGGTCTTTGGCAGAAATAGAAGAAGTATAGGCAGCTAATGGAAAGTTGGCAGCTGGACAAGCTGCAAGCTCTGGTTTGAATCTTGCAGTTCCATAAAGTTACGGTGAAGGCAGAAGGTGTCAGCATCGCCTTGAGTAATGCAGGAAGTCCTCAGAGGTAATGCATAGAAAAATTCATGGCTATCTGCTGCTCCACTTTGAGGGGGTGTATTAAAAATATTAGATTCACACCTAGTGGGTGTCTTGAAAATTTTCACAGCTGTTGGGTCTGTTTGTCATTCTGCTTGGGTAAATTTGGGAGAGTGCCTCCTGTGATTTGGTGGTGGGGCAGGCCCACAAGGAGATGAAAGCAGCATGGAGCTGACCAGTCACAGCAGGCTCTGTTTAGGAGGGTTTTGCCAACTTTTGGGCCTGTAGCTCTGAATGATGCCCATGGTAAAGAGAAAACAGGCTGTATAAAGTCGGTGGAATGACTGTTTAACTATTGTGCGTTTAACAGGTAGAAAAATGTTCTGGAAGAATTTTGAGGGCAAACCATGACAAATGAGCCCAGCTGCTTCAGACCAGACTGAGAAGCAGAAGCTAAAGCCCATTGCTTGATTAGCCACAATTTAGTGCATGATAAGTTTTCTACTACTAGGCTTGTCATATTAAAATATTGTCCATTTTTTATAAGGCAAGACCAGGCATCACCGTCTGAATGACTCAGTGACTGTGTTACCCTGACTCCTCACAGAAGATGAGGTAAGCTATTAGAGAAAATAGAAAAAGAATTTATGGAATTAAAAGTGATGTATTCCACCCTCTAATAAAAGTGATATTGAGAAGGAAGCAACACTTTACCAAGAAGTTAATGGCACTGATAGGGAGACACAGCACATGACACCAAAGTAAAATAAGTGATTGAGCACAAACCTTCCACAAGGTGCTGGGGACTGTCACTTACAGCATCAGCTCTTGAAGATTTCTAGAAAGGTAGCTAAAATTGTGATTTGGCCACACGGTGGCAGTTCATTCCTAGCTATTCTGCAACCCTACTATTTCTGTGAACAAGGGAACTGAGGACGAAAGTAAAAGGGAAGTTTTGTCCTGCTTCATCAAGAGACAGTCAGTGTGTGTATCTGTTATTCACCTCTGGGCTCCTTATTTCCCAGGCAGTTGTTTGGCAGTTTCCAATGATCATTAGTTCTTTAAATGAGTTTACTTTTCCAGGGAGAGATTTCCTTAGGCTATAAACAGCCATGACATCACAGGGGACACTGAGACCTCAGTAAATCA